TTATTATTCTGCTTGGATTTTTCCTATAGAAGTACATAGAAAAAATTATTAAAATTAACAACTGGTAACTCAAAGATTACAAGCTTCAAAAAATACATTATACCTTTCAGTAATGTAATAGTTATGTTTTTATTTATCTGATATATTATATCATCAATCCAAATAATTTCCTCAATCTTGGAACGAATTTGATATTTTTCTGGCGAAGTACATTATATCCTATTCTACGCCACTGCTTTGCTATCATAATATAACCCCCTACTTACCTATGAAATGAGATTTCCGGGTTCAAATAATCCAAATTTTCACACATTTGACACTGTCTAACCATATTGCTGTATAATATTAGTCTTAGAACACACAAATAATTCACTTTTCAAACATAAAATATCAGAAAAACCTCACAAAAACGATTTCACGATGCTTTCTAACAAAAGGCAACACGGCACAATCAAACTGACGTTAACTGTCAGCTTTGACGCCGTTTTACTATGCGATGATGTCAAGTTGAAAAATAAATAAGGATACTTGAATAATAACAATATTTTCTAAGCTCCTTTTTTACTTAAACGAACAACTTGAAATTATCAAAAATCTGCATTGAGGAGTTTTTCTAGTTACTCAGTTTATTTGCACTTTTATCAAATTTAAAAAGGCATTTTTAAGGTTTTTTCCAAAATATAATCGGCAACATGTTGATTCGTCTAGGATGTCGTTTAGACTATGCTTTCTCACTGGCACCTCGTCAAAATGTAAATGTCGCAGGCTTAATGTAAAATCAGTCTTATTATAATACGCCTAGGCTTTTTCAATACGACTAGGCATATCGTAATACTACCCAAATACTCAAGAATTTCACAATTAGACTGATAATTTTAGTCGTATTATAATACGCCTGCTGCGTGTTAGTCTTATTCTTTAAATGAACCTGCATTAGAATCCGACTAGATGAAATCCGTCGTATTATAATACGACTGATAATGCACCAGGCGAATTGTATTGAATAAAACTTTCAATGTGCCTTTTGGCCGATATATTGGGCTGAACGCTAACTTTCTTATTCTTTAAGCTAAAGAGACATCTAAATTACCAAAGTTTGAAGTATTTTTTCCAAATTTCGTCTCTGTAGCATAAATAATAGGAAAGCGACCCTTCAGCGCACCATGTATCTGTGAACACTTAGTACTTTAACATAAATTTTTAAGAGTTTAAACCATAAAATATATAAATTATAGTTTTGGATTATTTATTACAGCATGATCCGCTTTTATGACATTTGCTAGTACATTTGTTATGAGCTTTAAAACATAAACATTTATTGTTATGACATTGCACTGTGATTTACTTGGCTTGCAAGAACACTTTTTAAATCCTTGTCCTTCGAATTTTGAAAACTTTCTTAGAGCTTCTCTTAAGGAAATTGTATTTCCTTCCGGAATATTAATTATTTCATTACTTTGGCAGTCAGTGATTTCATCCCTTGAAAACCATCGATGATCCTCTATCTACTTTAGGAACTTCAATTGCAATATTTTTAATTTCAATATTTTGCACAAATCGAGGCACAAATATTACACAGAAATAAAACTAATCAACAATAATAATTAATATTATTCGACTGGCACACTGTCAGTCATATTATAATACGACGGATTTCATCTAGTCGGATTCTAATGCAGTTAAATTTTAAGAATAAGACTTGCAGCAGGCGTATTATAATACGACTGAAATTACTAGTCTAATTGTGAAATTCTTAAGTATTTGGGTAGTATTACGATATGCCTAGTCGTATTGAAAAAGCCTAGGCGTATTATAATAAGACTGATTTTACATTAAGCCTGCGACATAAATAACGGTCTCTATTGTTTTTTATTCCTCTGAGGTTTCCCCCATGAATTACAAAAAATCTTGTATGAAACACGTCGCAAAATGGCTGGGTTTTTGCACACAATCTTCACATCTAGTGCAAAAAATACGCTTATTTTACAACTTGTTACATAAATAGCTATATTTCAGGTTCGTTTACGTTTATATCCCAAATTTTAGTTTAATATGTAAAACTAGATTGGAGTTTCTTTTTGCACTAGCTCTGCCAGTAAAAAAGGAAACACATTCTTATAATTGTACAAAAACTTGGGTGGCATGTATAGTCTGGCAAGTGGTAACTTGGTAGAGACGAAAGGGGGAAGAAAATTGGGGCGTAGCCTAAAAATATCCACACCTCAACTGACACCGTCTGATGACAGCCATGTCTTTGGATTCAGTGGCACCGAAAACACCAAGGAAATAAACCAATAAAATTATTAGAAAAAAATTCTCTAGTTTGGCCAATAACCACGCCACTGCGTGCTTAGCGTTCAGGCTCTAACCAATAGAATCATGCCTCTGAATAATCACGCCTCTCTACATCCATCATTTCGCAATGTTGCCGGATTTTTTTCTATTTCAAAATACTAGTCCCCAGTACATCGACCCTAAAATTTTGTAACTCATGTACACGCCAAACTTCCTGAGCGGCTTCATAACACCAAGTCGGACAATATTTTTCATATCTCCACCCCGGGCGATGGGACATTTTCGCGCTAGCTCTTCGTGAAGTTGTCGTTCTGACGTCCCTAAGGAAGTTGATACATGTACGTGTAGTTTTAATGCCAATCGACTGTTTTTGACATTATATTAACGATATCACATTTGTCGGACAAAAACCATGTGGCTTTGGGGAAGGTCCGACGCTCTCAACATGTGGCTGTGGCGTCCCCGAGGAAGTTGATACATGTACGTGTGGTTTTGATGCCAATCGACTGTTTTTTATGTTACATTATTGATATCACATATGTCGGACAAAAATCACGTGGCTTTGGGTGGATCTGACGCCCCCAACATGTCGCTGTGGCGCCCCTAAGGAAGTTGATACATGTATGTCCGACAAAAATAATTATGAGTAACAATGTAATTTTAAAACATGTGTAGTAAATGTCGGACAAAAAGAATGAGTATTAAAGTCAGTCGGACAACAAAAGTCCTTTTGATCAATTTCTGCCGAAATTCAGGATCTCTACTCCTGAGGTCGCACAAAAAACACGACAGAATATCCATTCTTTTTCAAACGCGTGGTTTTCAACGACCGTTCACTAAATCATTCCCGTAAATACTCGGAGAATTATCCAAAAAAAACAGATCAGCGAATATGACACAGGTCCACACAGGTATTTGACAAAGTAGGTAAATAATAAATTGACTAATATGCACATTGCTTAAAGGCAAACTAATTTTAATTTTTTCATTGATTGTCTCAAATTTCTTGTCCGACAAATGTGATATCGGTAATGTAATGTAAAAAGCCGTCGATTGGTATTAAAAACACACGTACATGTATCAACTTTCTCAGGGACGCCACAGCGACATGTTGAGAGCGTCGGACCCCTCCGAAGCCACGTGATTTTTGTCCGACATATATGATATCGTTAATGTAATACAAAAAATAATCGATTGGCATTAAAACTACACGTACATGTACCAACTTCCTTAGGGACGCCACAGCGACATGTTGGGGGTGTCGGACCTTCCCCAAAGCCACATGGTTTTTGTCCGACAAATGTGATATCGTTAATATAATGTCAAAAACAGTCGATTGGCATTAAAACTACACGTACATGTATCAACTTCCTTAGGGACGTCAGAACGACAACTTCACGAAGAGCTAGCGCGGCAATGTCCCATCGCCCAAGGTGGAGATATGAAAAATATTGTCCGACTTGGTGTTAGGAAGCCGCTCAGGAAGTTTGGCGTGTACATGAGTTACAACATTTTTAGGTCGATGTACTGGGGACTATACTACATATGCCCATATAGCAAAAAAATATATGTCATCAACTTGTTTATTATTATTTCCGTCAAATTTGGTAAAGCAGCAAATTCTATTGCAGTTCGCCGTTTGGCTAGCCAGACATATGTATTGCATAGTGAGTTGTAAATTATCGTTACAGGTAAGTAAATAGCAAAATCGAAACAAAATCCCTTTCAGCAACCGAACCAAGAAAAACGGAACGAAATATGAATGTTTATAAAATAATTGAGGTTGACTCTGTACCTAAAAAAATTCACATCCCAAAATATGTAAGCTTGACATACTGGACAAAAGCTTGAAAGAGCTCAAAACAAAGGAGAAAACCATTGATAGAAGTGATCCTGGCGACGATCATGAAAAAGTGGTAAAAAAAAATGAATCCCGATTAAAAAGTAGCCGTGCCGTATCACTGCCGTTGATGCTACTTGTGTTTTTGCACAAAACCATTGGAAGGAAAGGCAGTTCGAAATAGACTTGGTGAACGAATTTCGACAAAATTTCACAGACTAGAAACGTTCGACGCGTGGAACACCTTCTGCAATTCAGTTGAATTTGTTAAAGATGAGCTGACCAAGACTAGGTTAGAAAAGTTTAAGAACATTTTGCAATAATTCTGGGGGTTACCTGAAAGCCGCTGCTTTAAATATTCGATATCACAAAGATTGTTGGAAGATTTACTGCAAACCAATTTACCACATAAATGCAATGGAAAACAGAAAAGAACAACATCAGCAAAGAGTTCAGTGGGTAACACAGAATCAAACTGTTGCATTCAATAAATTGTGTGAATTTGTTGTTGAATGCTTAGACGAAAATAAAGAAGTTTACACACTTAGAGACTTGCAGTATGAGTATGAACAAATTCAAAGAGACTTATTGATTTCAGACGCAGAAATTAGGAACACTTGTGACGATAGATACGCTCTACGATCGCCTCGAGAGAAACTAATAAAGCGTTTTGGAGATGACATTGGCTTCCAAACCAGATACAGACGAAACGAATCATAAATAGTCTCTTTTAAAAAATATGGAGGAGCGTACGTTGAGAGTGCTGGAAATAGCTGGGACACACAAACCTCGGTGATTATTAGGAACGCTAAAATTTTACATAGTAAGCATCGCAAAATGTGTTTACTCACGCTGGCCTTTCCAGAATGAAGTCCTAAAGGTAGACAGTACTTCTAATGACATTCATAATTTAATAGCACTACTTGCGAATCCTAGTGATAAACTCGAAGAAGGTCGCGCTATAGTTCCGGAACGGCTACAACCAGCTGACCGTTTTGTATCGGAACTTATAACTTACCTAATTACTGGCAAACGTCAACCAATGCAAGTAAGTCTGTCCATGTCTGTGCATATCGTAACTGGTAGCAAGGAGCTTATTAATATTCTAAAGATATTGAAAATTGGAATCTCGTATGATGATGTCCTTGATGAATTAGCAGCGTTGGCGATTCAGGAACGCAGAAGACAAGAAAATTTTCAAACAGGATCTCGAGATCTTCTGTATCCTCAACAGATAGCATCATTCCAGCCAGGTACCGTTGTCATGGATAATAACGACTTCCAAGAAGACGGGCTTACGAGTTCCGAAACAAGTCATTATACGAAATATGCTGCCCAATAATTCCAAAAGATTTAAGCAATACAACACGTGGTGAAGTACAGCCGAAATCATTTGAAACTACTGATAGACATCCCACCACTCATAGAATACATGCATCAATTTGCCATATTACAATTGGCCAAAATTTACCATCATTTAGCCGTTTTCATTGCAGACTGCACTTATTCAACTAGTTAGTGACCAAGCAGTTTATATATTGAAGAATGTCTATGTCAAATTCCAGATAATTGGCCTCTTGTAAAAGGTGTCTTGGGAGGATTTCATACAGAAATGTCTTATTTGAATGCACTGGAAACGGTTAGTAGGTTGTGGCGTCGAGGAATTAGCTGTAGAGTCAGGTGTTGTTGCTGCAGGTAGTTTCAATCAAGCATTGCGACTACACAAATTAATGTCAGGATCTTTATTAAGCATGGTAATTCAATGCTGCTTAGAAAATCACCCTGATATTCTTAGTAGTCTAAATCTGGAGGAATGGCATCGACAGAAGAACAGGCAGAAGAAGTCGTTATGTCAGTCCACGAGCACTGAAAAAGTTCAGGGTATTGAACTCATTGGAGATTCGGGAAGCTCTAAAGATAAAAGTGTTCGAACCATAGCTAGTCCGGTGGATCTTTTCTTGGAAGGTAGTGGAAGAGCGTGCGGTTCTTCTTGGGGCATGAAGTCCGATTTTGGATAGTAGGTATATGGAATCGTTGTGAGAGTTTAGTATTTTGAAGATGTTAATAAATTCCTTTGATTTCGTCTGGCGGCTAAGGGTTGCAGGTTGAAACGTCGGCAGAGGTCATCATAATGATAGATATAATTTTCGGGAGAAGGAATACCTGCCTTGAATGCCAAGTACCGTACAAATTTACGCTGCACCTGCTCCAAGGCGTTGATGTGGACAGAATACATAGGTGACCAAACCGAGGAGCAGTACTCCAGGATGGGCATTATCATTGTGCAGTAGAGAAGCCTGATGATGGAAGAGATGTTGGTGAGGTCCCTCGAACACCTTTTAACAAAGCACAACAGTTTCACAGACGTGGTAGCAATATCCGGAAAATGGCTGGAGAAGCTTAACGTGCTATCAAAATCAAAAATGACACCGAGATCACGTTGTTGGGACGCACACTGTTCCAAGTGGTTCATTGCTTGGAGATAACGATTGTTTTACATTTAGAGGCATTGAGTTCCATGCCACTTGTGACACACCATTCGGAAAGTCTATCCAAGTCAGATTGTAGTCTGGCACACTCTTCGTATATTCCTGAGAATACAAAGAAGAGCCGATCTTCGATATGGCATCAATTTACCATATTTTCCAAGGAACGGAATTTCGATTTGGACACACAGATGTCTATTGAAGACCTAGCAGAGATATTAATGGACTGGGGCATTAATATGAAGAAAAAAAATGGGATGGATTACAAAGAATATGTCATTAAAACCATGTGGAATTCAGTCGCAAAAATGCTACAAAATATGTACTGTACTATGAAAAATTTAAGGTAATTTTCAACTCTTTCACCGATGTTACATTCAAAAAATCCCGTGATGCCCGTGATTGCAAAAGAGAAAAATTGCAAACTAACTTAGAAAAACAAAAAGAAAGTTCCGTAGCATTAACTCGAATCGAAATAACCAGGATGGCATTATTAGGGGATGAAAATATACCAAAAGGACTCTTGAAGAATTTTTTTCACGTGGTTGCTTACGAGCTTGCTTGGAGAGGAGGTGAAGCTGCCAACTGTAAAATTTATTATTTTAAAGAAGAAACATTTAACAATGGAAAATTAACTAGCAGAATTGAATACAACACCATATTCTCAAAAACGTTTCAGGGAGGATCGAAAAAGTGCACTGAATCTAAATGGCTTGTAGCTAACAAAAAAAATCCGGATATCTATCCGATACGGTTGTATTACAAAATTGTATCAAACAGACCACCTCATATTTCAACTGATAGATTTTTCCTCACCCCAAATACATTTTGGAAAAATGGGAAATCAACAGGATGGTATAAAAATATGCCTATCGGAATCAATGAAATTCTAAAGTGGACAAAAATCTCAGCAGAAAAAATTGGTTTGGACATCAAAAACAAAAAAATTACAAACCACTCTCACCGGTCAAGTGCGGTGTACATTTTAGCCAAAGCTGGTGTTGGTGAACAAGAACTAATTAAAATGACTGGGCATTCTTCGTTCCATAAAACCATACCTACGGCCTAATGACGAACACCATTTAAGTTTAGTAACAAACCTTCGTAAAAAAGCCGTGAATATTGAAACAAGAGCGCAACCAACCACCCCAACATCTTTACCACCAGTTTTGCAAACATCTTTGAAAGAGTATCTTTCTGTACAAATTCTAAGGCGAAAAATATACAATATATACTAATTGTACCTTCAATAACTGTTCATTTTAAAAAGTATTTCCACGTTATTACCAATTGTAATTTGTTTTCTTATTTGAGATAAATAAATATTTCATTTTGATTTTGCATTCGTGGAATTGCCGTACTAAATACCATTCGAGCTCACATTTTGAGCAGGATATTTTTTTGCTTGCTCTCTCATACTTACTTTCATGCAATTTATCTCGATCTGTTCCACAAAATCACTCGAGCTGCGCTCTCGTGATTTTGCTCGAACAGCTCTCGATAAATTTCCTGATTCGAGACCAAGCCAAAATCTGAGCTCTTCTGATATTACCTACGACAAAATTTTTTCTCTTGTGATATTATATATGACAATATTTTGACAGGACCAAATCATTTCAAAATTTTAAAAGCATTAGGGCCAAATTATGGACTGAATGGTAAATGTCTGGTAGTTACCTAGCAGGTACTTTCTATGCACTAGATAATAGAAAGTACCTGCTAGGTAACAACCAGACACTTACCAGTTGGTCCATAATTTGGCCCTTAGAGGTAGAATTCAATGCTAAAGATTTAGGAAACCTTAATAATTTTCTTGGTATGGAAATAATGGACAAAAATGGTCAGAAATGCATAGGTCAACCCCCATTAATCAAGACAATGCTTGCTAAATTTAATTTAGAAGAATGTTAATCTATACAGGGTGAATCTGAAAGTGAGGGTTTTTTTTTAACAGGGTATATATCTCGCCAAAATAAGTTGTTTGACAAAAAATTGTTTATTTAAAAAATTTAAGATAACGAAGATACAGGTATTTTAAGGTTATGTGCATTAAAAATCTAATTTCCAATGAACTATAGCCAAAAACTGGAATGCGCACACATTGCCATATCTGCCAAAAAAATTAAGCCATGAAAGACAGATGCCACAAAGGGGAATGTTTTTTTTTTTTTTGTTGCTCGCTGACATATGACGTTTTGTAAAGTTTTGTCATATTTACCTTCACAGGTTTCATCAATTGGAATACGTGTTGGAAGCAATTTCCGCCATTTAACATAATGAGTGCGACAAAAACAGGTATCCCCTGCGCAGCAGCGGCACTAGGCTTCACGTTCGTCATTATGTGTGCGCATTCCAGTTTTTGGTTATAGTTCATTGCTAATTTCAATAATTTAAGATTTAGTAGAGAAAAAATGATAAAAATTATCAATAGTAATATAACTAGTGCAATGGAAATTATTGATAATTTTTGGGAAATTTGCCCGAATGCATTTTTAGTTGGAAAAGAGCACGAGTGCCTTTTTCAGTTAAAAACGCATGAGTGCAAATTTGTCGAAAATTATAAATATATTTCCATTGCACGAGTTGTATTTAATGAGAGAATTTCATAAATCAAAAATTTAAATTTTTTGTCAAAAAATGTCAAAACAACAGTTTTCGCACCACTTAGTATGCAAATATCTGATAATTTGCACTAGTGCAAATTATCGCGTAATTACAATCTGATTGGTTCAAATCAACAATCAAAACATGTCAATTTATTGTTGGAATACCAGTTTTGACAGATGTATGAAATTCTCACAAAAATTGTTCAAAATTATTTCCATTTGTCTGATGCTTCATTTCCTTCCTAAATTTTGTCGGTTTCACTTTAAACCGAAAATTGATAGGTTGAAAGTGAATTTTCTTCTGATGGAATAATGCAACTGTGAGTACCTATTATGGAATAAGACTCATTATGTTGTACTAATAATGGCTTTTTTGCGGCTTTTTTTTTTGAAAAAATGTAAACAAAGTGATTTATAGTGGAAGTCTCCTCTAACCTCAAAATAGCTGTACCTCCGTTATCTTAAATTTTTTATATAAACAATTTTCTGCCAAACAACTTATTTTGGTGAGATATACATCCTGTTAAAAAAAAGCCTCACTTTCGGATTCACCCTGTACCTATATACTGTGGGAGGAGACTCTTGAACAATTTGCACTCCACAGTATCAATTTTTTGTGATTTTTCTAAAGCATTCGACTGTGTAAGTCATAATATCCTAATTAACAAATTGCAGCATTATGGAATTCGAGGCTCTCCTCTGAAATGGTTCAAGTCGTATCTTAACAAAAGAAAACAGCTTGTGAGGGTTGAAAACACTACTACTATTGACGTCGTTGATTCCGTAAAGTTTTTGGGCCTTATTATAGACAAATCCCTAAAATAGAATTCGCACATCGATTCTTTATCAAAAAAATTAAGTTCCGCTTGCTCTGCGATAAGATCAGTTTCCAAGGAACTTAACTTGTCAACTTCTAGAACAGTCTACTTTGCCCTTTTCGAATCAAATCTTCGATACGCCCTTCCATTCTGGGGTTCATGCTGTGCGACTCAATTTGAGCGTATTTTTAAATTACAAAAAACAACTAAAGATATTCCCTAAAATTAAAAAATAGAGCCCATTGCCAAGATTTTTTCAAAAAATATAAAATATTAACACTTCCCTGGAAAGGGAGGGCTTTCCATACTAGAATCAGTCTGGCTAATCCGCAAACACCTGCCCAGTATTTCAGAAAGGCCACTGCATAACTATACACTTAGAAACGCGGAGCATGATCTCTATCTGCCAACTCCATCCTCCGAGTTAATTAC